ATGTGAAAGACATATTTTTGATCGGAGATAATGTAGAATTATTCTGCAAAGCATAAAGGAATGTTTGAAAGGAGTTTTTCAAAGAAAGACCTCAGTGAAGCTGCTTACATATTGAGCATCAAGATCAATAGAGATAGATCAAGACGCTTGATAAGTTTTTCAATGAGTACATACCTTGACAAGATTTTGAAGTAGTTCAAAGTGGAACAGTCAAAGAAGGAGTTCTTGCCAGTGTTACAAAGGTGTGAAGTTGAGTAAGACTCAAAACCCGACCACGGCAGAAGATAGAGAGAGAATGAAAATCATTCCCTATGCCTCAGCCATAGGTTCTATAAAGTATGCCATGCTATGTACCAGACCTATTGTATACCCTGCCCTGAGTTTGGCAAGGAAGTACAATAGTGATCTAGGAGTAGATCACTGGAAATTGGTCAAAATTATCCTTAGTGGAATAAGGATATGTTTCTCGATTATGGAGGTGACAAAAGGTTCGTCGTAAAGGGTTACGTCGATGCAAGTTTTGACACTGATCCAGATGACTCTAAATCTCAATCTGGATACATATTGAAAGTGGGAGCAATTAGCTAGAGTAGCTCCATGCAGAGCATTGTTGACATAGAAATTTGCAAAATACTTACGGATCTGAATGTGGCAGACCTGTTGACTAAATTTCTCTCACAAGAAAAACATGATCACACCTCAGTACTCTTTGGGTGTTAATCACATAGCGATGTGAACTAGATTATTGACTCTAGTAAACCCTTTGGGTGTTGGTCACATGTCGATGTGAACTATGGGTGTTAATCACATGGTGATGTGAACTATTGATGTTAAATCACATGGCGATGTGAACTAGATTATTGACTCTAGTGCAAGTGGGAGACTGAAGGAAATATGCCCTAGAGGCAATAATAAAGTTATTATTTATTTCCTTATATCATGATGAATGTTTATTATTCATGCTAGAATTGTATTAACCGGAAACATAATACATGTGTGAATACATAGACAAACAGAGTGTCACTAGTATGCCTAACCATAGACATGAGTTGTCATTTGATTAACGGGATCACATCATTAGGAGAATGATGTGATTGACTTGACCCATTCCGTTAGCTTAGCACTTGATCGTTTAGTTTGTTGCTATTGCTTTCTTCATGACTTATACATGTTCCTATGACTATGAGATTATGCAACTCCCGTTTACCGGAGGAACACTTTGTGTGCCACCAAACGTCACAACATAACTGGCTGATTATAAAGGTGCTCTACAGGTGTCTCCAAAGGTACTTGTTGGGTTGGCGTATTTCGAGATTAGGATTTGTCACTCCGGTTGTCGGAGGGGTATCTCTGGGCCCACTCGGTAATGCACATCACTATAAGCCTTGCAAGCATTGCAACTAATGAGTTAGTTGCGGGATAATGTATTACGGAACGAGTAAAGAGACTTGCCAGTAACGAGATTGATCTAGGTATTGAGATACCGACGATCGAATCTCGGGCAAGTAACATACCAATGACAAAGGGAACAACGTATGTTGTTATGCGGTCTGACCGATAAAGATCTTCGTAGAATATGTAGGAGCCAATATGGGCATCCAGGTCCCGCTATTGGTTATTGACAAGAGGGGTGTCTCGGTCATGTCTACATAGTTCTCGAACCCGTAGGGTCCGCACGCTTAACATTCGTTGATGATATAGTACTATGAGTTATGTATGTTGGTGACCGAATGTTGTTCGGAGTTTTGGATGAGATCACAGATATGACGAGGAACTCCGGAATGGTCCGGAAGTAAAGATTGATACGTGGATAGTAGTGTTTAATCTCCGGAAGGGTTCCGGAATTCATCGGAAGGGGTTCCGGATGTTTCTCAAAATGTTTGGGCACGAGAACACTTTATTTGGGCCAAAGGGAAAAGCCCACGAGGCTTTTGGAAAGTGCAAAAGGAAGTTTTGCGGAGACCAGAGGCTAGACGCCAGGAACCCTGGTGTCTAGGGGGTAGACGCCGGGAACCCTGGCATCTAGCCCTGGAGTCCGAGAAGGACTCTTGCCTTTCGGGTGAAACCGACTTTGAGGAGGCTTTTACTCCAAGTTTCGACCCCAGGGCTCAACATATAAATAGAGGGGTAGGGCTAGCACCAAAGAGAGATCAAGAAACACCAAGCCGTGTGCCGGCAACCCCGTCCCCTCTAGTTTATCCTCCGTCATAGTTTTCGTAGTGCTTAGGCGAAGCCCTGCGGAGATTGTTCTTCACCAACACCGTCATCACGCCGTCGTGCTGCCGGAACTCATCTACTACTTCGCCCCTCTTGCTGGATCGAGAAGGCGAGGACGTCACCGAGCCGAACTTGTGTAGAACTCGAAGGTGTCGTGCTTTCGGTACTTGGATCGGTCGGACGTGAAGACATACGACTACATCAACCGCGTTGATATAACGCTTCCGCGAACGGTCTACGAGGGTATGTAGACAACACTCTCCCCTCTCGTTGCTATGCATCACCATGATCTTGCGTGTGCGTAGGAATTTTTTTGAAATTACTAAGTTCCCCAACAGCGGTGTCATCCCGTGCGGGTTGGAGGAGGCAATGGCAGTCCGCATTGCACTCCGCTGCTCCCGGGAGGACAGAGCCCGGCCGACGGACGGATCCGTCAGCCGCGGCGCCATAGCGTCGGCTCAACGGGCTCTCAGGTCCTCTGGTGTTGGATCCTCGCGGTCCCGGCAGCCGGAACACCTCTCCTTCCCCATCACCGGTCAGGCATACTATGAGTCCCACCTGAAACGGGCGGTCCGCCATGGGAAGGAGAGGATAAGGGCGCGGAGGCCTGTATCGCGACGGAAATGGCGACGGCGGAGGCGGCTGATGCAGCGGAGGCGGCTGATGCGGCGGGGCGGGCGGCCGCAGAGGAGTAAGTCATATGCGCCCTCATTGTGAAGAAATGGCTGCGGAGAAACACGCACACCCTCGCCCGAGAGCAGAATCGGGCGGCCCGTGCCATGGCCGGACTGCCACCAAAGGAGGAGAGGGCGGACAACTCCGGTGTTGAGCAGATACGGCTCAGTCCATACTGCGTCTTCGATCGGTACTTTCGCGAGAAGGACGGGAATGGCGCCGCGAAGGGCAAGAGCAACCGTGAATGAACTCCACTATAGTCAAACATACCAAATTTTGATAGTTCGATGGCATATTTAGTTAGTAGCGATGGGAGTAGCCGGACGATGTGTGTGCATTGACATAGTTGCATGAGTTTGTATAGATTTGAGATAGGATACTTAAGGTGTTCAGATGTGGATTACATTATTTGAGGGGTGTCCGGCCACGTCCACGGGCGTTTGAGGGATCGGATTTGTCAAGTCCGGTTATAGATGCTCTAAGTTTGTACGGTTCAATACTCATTGAATCTACTATTCTACTACTATCAACTTGATGCAACGTAGGCAAGATAAAGCCTGGTCAGATGCCAAACAGTCCGAGAGCGAGCTTCGAGCGCAGGTGTGTCAGCAAGCGGCAGCAACAAGATAATCACACGCATGCAACTATGTCACGTTTGTGCATCCATCAGCGCATGAGCATGTCAACTTTCCGGCGTAACAATTGTTTGATCACATAACATCTCTACGGAAACGATAAGATGAGTTGAACCATCGATGCCAAGTGCCAAGTCCAGTCCATGGATTAACTAGAAAGCCGTTCATCAGGAAACATATGCAGCTAATTATATTTCTGTCACATCATACTGATTACATGTAGATCTGTGTACACTCTAGAGCGCGATTTTTTACATAGTATTTCTTTTTTTTCGAAAGGGGTATTTGGAGATTTCAATAGGAAAATAAAGTTCTACTTGAAAGTCAACACCGTTTGGGCCAACTTAGTATTATTGTTCGTGGAGCATCTGTACAGAAGGTGACTATTACTAGGAGAACCAAAAAGTCCACTCCCGAGTTTCTCTGAAAAAAAAGTCTACCCCCTAAATATGTTCAGAAACGACGCATGTGCCTGGTAATACAAGGAGAAAACAACGCCTGGAGAACGTGGTGGCAACAACTCGACAGAGAACTTGATCACATGGAAGAACATGAGGATCCAAAAGGGGGCTTTTTCTGTGGGTGCAAAACATCATTAGAAAGCTTGACCATTAGAGCCGATACTAATCAATAAATCGGAAACGCTCTTTCGGAGTGGAGGATCACCATGCATCTCAACCACTGCAGTCGATCGCCACAGCGGGCAACAGCGTAGCAGCCACGTCCGCACGCACTTGCCTTGCGAGGTGCTGAATTGCCCAAGACACATCTAACAGCGACAAGCGTATGAGACAGCACGTATAACTGCATTTTAATGTTACTCATACTCCCTCCATTTCAAATTACTCGTCATGATTTTAGTTCAACGTTGCAATGTCCACTCTGTTTGTAGGTATCTGGATCGATTTTTCTTTGAGCGAAACACCTCGAGATGGGTCAATGATTCATAATCCAGGAACAGAAAATATTTTCAGCTAAAAATAAGGAGCTGAAGTTATTAACCACTGGTACTGCTAGTAGCCTAGTAATCCATACAGACTGCACAGCTCCAGTATCAAAATCAAACATAGCAAGCAATGGAAGGAGCCCTCCTAGGCGTCCTAGCTACCAATTTTCGATTTACATTCACTTATATGCCTATATTTCTACATGTCACCATACTGTCTAAAATGCACCGCGAGTTTATTTACTTTAATTACATAGATAGATTATCTATCCAAAATGGTCGGACACTTCCTCACACCCTGCGCAAGCGGGAGCTACATGCACTGAGGCTGCCCTTTTTTCAATAGATAGATTATCTCAAGCTCATCTAGTCTCAGACCCACATACCAGGAATGAAGGATCGTCACAATTTGTGCGTTCCGAGCAGGACCGACAATACTAATACACACTAGCACAGCAGGAGGCGACTAACTAAATACACTGCCCGTATAACTAGCAATATATATGTAGCGGCAGGAGGATGAATTCTCACTCCGGTATGCTCTGCAGCGCCGGCGTCCAGTGAGCGGTCTGCCCCCTGTGCCGGAAATTGGAGCCGCTCGTCATGCAGAGGAGCTCCGAGATGACGGCGCCGCTGCAGCCGTCCTCCAGGTCGAGGCGCCGCAGCAGGTCCTCCAGCTGCTTCCTCGTGATCCTGATCTTCACCTCCTTCACCGGTGGAGTAGCCTTCTCCATCTCCTCCTCCACCGGGACCGCGCTCTTCTTGGTGCAATGCACGGCGTCGACGCCGCGACGGCCATGCGCTGTGTGGAAACGGTTGCCCATCTTGAACTCGAATTCTTGGCTAGGCGGGCGATCGATTGGATTTGGAAGGCCAAAATTCGACCGGGGGTGATCAAAATCGGTGCGCAGTTTGGTTTTGATGATCGGGTGCTCGCAGGATTGGATGGGGAAGTGGCGGATCTACTGGGAAGGCGACCGTGCTGGGGGAGATTTATAGGCGTGGGCTTGGCGGATGGAGGGAAATTGAGAGGCGGAGAAGGACCGTTTGATCGAAACGTGGATGGCTGCGATCGAGTCCAACTTGCCGTGTCCGTCCGGTGCCGACCAGGCAGTCATGCCAGGTGCGTTGAGATCCGTGCCTGGGTGGTTCGGACGTTCGACATGGATCTTGGCGGTGGCTTGCAGTGCGAACGGTTTTATGGTCGCGCGGGCCCCGGCGTGCCGTGTGAGCTGTAAACGTGGCGTGTCTTGGCGAATGCGGAGGCTGGTGAAATGCACAAGTGATTTGTCATAGTTAATCTCGTGAGCGGACAAAACAAGGGCTGTTAATTAACCTTTTTTTTGCGGGTGAGGCTGTTAATTAACCTAGCTGGCTGGACCAAAATGATGGACCATGAAAACTTTAATATGTAGAGTAGCTATCACTTTCATGGAGCCTGCGTCGGCTGTTTTACAGCTTTATTTACACGGCTCGTCAGCAAATTACTGAACACCAGCGCAGATAATCAACATCTATACAGATACAGAACAGTTTTTTTAATGCATGGCTGGTCTGAATGGACGTACACGACAAGAGAATGAAACTTCAGCGGCGGTGATTAACGTGGAATTTTCTCATATGGAGCGTTGAGTTCTACGTTAAACTGTGGATCACCGGGTACATGCATGGCATGGGCATGCGCCCTCGTTTTCGCCTTGTCCAGCTGCCATCCGGGTGGCTTCCAATCATAGCACATCACCAACTGAACAAATGATTAGCCGCCTACATTCCCTTCATAATGCTGGATGTATGTCATGCGTACATACTTCACCCGCCATAAATCACCTTAAACAATTAATCTCTCAAAGGCTGCTTTCTCTTCGTGAGTTTTCAAGGTGATCTACTCGTACTACTACCTCCGTCCCGGTGTATAAGTCATTCGCGTAGTTCTAGGTCGATAATTTAACTATCTAAATATGTATTATATGTGACAAAAAATATATATTTACAAACTACATCCGTGTGGAAATCTAGTGGTATACTTTTCATGACATATAACACATATTTAATTCCTCAAATCGATGACCTAGAACTACGCAAATGACTTATACACCCGGACGGAGGGAGTAGTATACTTCCTCTGTACCTAAATATAAATCGTTTTGGTTGGCTGGAGGGAGTATAAAACAATTGTCAACTAATTCAGGTACGTGTGCTCTAGTTTGGAGGTCCAACAATGTGCCATTAATACTACTTACAGTTGCACCATATCCAGCACCAACTGGAAAAATCATTCTAGGTCAGCAATTTCAGTTGGCTGCGAATATATGCCTAGCTGGTCAGGTCACCTGATTAATTCTTGTCTCTAGGCCCCAAATCGCTTCCACCGGCCGGACGTTGGCCGGTGCACAGTCGTCGTCGCCGCCGGAGCGTCCTGGCTGGCTGGCTTCCCGTGGAGTGGAGGCCATCCAAGGTACCCAACCGATCGAACTCATTTGACCAGCTGCAACCACTACTAACCGCATTGCATTGGTTTATTTAACTCCATACTAACTGCATTGCATTGCATTGATTTATTTCGCTCAAAAGGTCCTGACCTAAACGGTTTGTAGTATCGAAAACACCGGAAAAAAAAAGAAAACACCAAGCAACTCAGGGCATCTACAACCATAATAAGCTATTACCTCCGTCTAAATGAATAAGTCATTTGTGTAGTTCTAGGTCATCGATTTGAGAAATTAAATATGTGTTATATATCATGAAAAGTATATCACTGGATTTCTACACGGATATAGTTTTTAAATATATATTTTTTGTCACATATAATACATATTTAGATAGTTAATCGTCAATCTAGAAGTACGCGAATGACTTATTCACCAAGACGGATGAAGTAATTTGGTGCCTTGTACGCACACAGGCGTGTCCACTCACAGTGCCCAGACAATAGCCAATTTGCTCCCTCCATAACCACAAACCACAAATTCGGATGCCCTATTTTATACAACAGTTTTGCTAAAGCACATCTAGATGTGCAATACATTAATCTTACATTGAGATTCCTGTGAATATTTTCTTTCTCTTTTTTTCTCTTTATACTTGATTCACTCAATTAGATGTGCAATAACTAGAGCACATCTAGATGTGCCCTAGACGCACCCTTTATACAAAACCATGCAGTCTACGTAGATCGTAGAGATGCAATAAAACGTAAGCAATTCAGACATACAAAACCATACAATCCACGTAGATCAGAGATAGCATAAAACGTAAGCAATTCGGACATCGAACATCCAGTTAGTTCATCCAAATAGTTCAAATTCAACCTAAAACAAAAAAAAACTAAACTATGAACATAGCAAGGCGCGAGGGTTCATCTCCTCCATGTATGCATCAGCGGCGGGAGGGTCGTCATCGTCCGTGGTGGTGCCAATCTTCGACACGGAAGAAATGTAGCCGAAGATGCGACGAGGGAGCCACTGCTCCTCCTTAGCGTGGAGGGCAGCCTTGGTGGCAGCGCCCGAGGCGGAGCGCCTTCAAGTTTTTGCGCCAAAGGTGTCGCTTGTCGGTCTCCGCCGTAGTCAGCGACCGCCGCATGAGCTCGTGGAGGAGCGCCTCCTCCGAGTCGACGAGGACAGAGCGAGCCTGCTGGCGGGAAGAGCCGGGCTCTGCCGCTCAGGCCGGGCCGCCTTCGCCTCCAACTCCAGCATGCGCATCCGCGCGAGCACGAGCACCCACCGTTACCTGGGCGGTGCTGGCGCCGGAGGAGAATGGGAGACATACTACTCACGATGGAGTTGTTCGATTTTTCGGAAGAGGAAGGGTGAAGCAGTATATATAGTAGCAGATAGTATTTACCTCAATTAAGAATCAAGGTTTATCGAACCAGTAGGAGGAAACACAAGAACAACTTTAGCAGCACCTCCAGACAAACAAAATAATTGCTTGTACCCAACAAAAGGCAAGGGGATCGTCACTCCCCTTGTTCTTGCCAACCACATGATTAAAACTGATAATTATATATGCAAAGTAATAAAAAGTAATAGAAAATAAAAAAAGCAAATAGAGAAATTTTGGAGACTTAGTATTGATGAAGGATAGACCACGGCCATAGGTTCACTAGTGGCATCTCTCTTAAAAGCATAGTAACGATGAGTAAACAAATTACTACGGGGCAATTGATAGAATTGAGCATAGTTATAGTTGTGATCATTCATGGCATAATCATTACATCAGAATTACATCTGTGACAACTAGCCCGTTAATCAAATTGCGTCTACTACTATTACTTCATCCCAAGATCGCTATCCAGAATGCATCTCAAAGTAGTAAGTTCATGCAAACAGAATAACACTTTAAGCAAGATGACATAATATAGACCAAGTAAGATCAGTCAATATGATCAAACCCCATAGTTTTTTCCTTAGTAGCAAGAATACAATATGTGTCTTTGCCCCTCCTATCACAGGGTAAGATCACTGCAAGATTGAACCTACTACAAAAAACCTCTCCCACTTAAGATAACTGAATCAAACTTGGCCAAAGTAGACAAATAGATTGGAGAGATATACAACGCTATAAAATTATCCAGCCAAGAAACCTCAAAAGATTCAAAATAACTCAATGAACAATCTGATCATAAACAGATAAATCATCGGATCCCAACAAACACGCCGCAAAAGATTACATCGGATTGATCCTAGAGAAGATCCACTAACCCCTTTCCGCGATGGCATTTGGAACCGTCGCCTAGTGAGTGACGGCGATAGGGGGGTCCTTCCCACACGACCCATAAAACGTTGGGGATAGGGACCCTACAGTACTCCTACTCGTCTCTACTCGCATTGCCATCATAGTCGGTATTATGTGGTGCTACGTCTATGATGCGTGGCCCATCACAAACGGTTCACTATTATAGAACATGTATGATGCGCGGCCCATCACAAACGGTTCTTAAGAAGATTAGCTAATCGTCGTACGAGTGTCGGACAGGATTATGAAACATCGGACCGTTGTAACATCGTCGTACACGATAACTATCGCACACACTATTCCGTGGTGCAACGTTTACGATGCATACTTCATCAGAAACAGTTCATGGTTGTGAATCATGTACGATAAGGCAACTAACACAAACGTTTAGTTTGCCCTCACCGTTTGTGATATTGTCTGACATCGCACATGCTTTGCAAACGGCAACTATGTGCATGCTTGCACATGTTTCCTGTGTGTGAATCATCTCGGATTATGGTGTATATCGCAAACGTTTGTGTTTTACCAACCGTGTGTGCCGTAACGACCTGGAGGGTGTAATTTTGTCGTAATTTAATTGCTGCTATTTTAAATTGTACCGAATTTGAATTTGAATTTGAATGTATGCTACAGCTTTATTCATATCCACCAGGTTCAAACAACCAATGCATTATTCGATTCATAGGTACATATGTTCAAGAATTACATAAGAACCAAATAAAGAATGATGAACCACATTTGTATACTTGTACTATTAAAGACGATAAAGAAAGAGGCGAAATACATTCTGGTTGCTGAACAAGGTGAAGCGGAATGCCCATATTGTGCCCTCCTCCATGCAAAAGGCACGCACGACTCTAGTCCACCCCCTTGTGATGGCCGACCGCCCATCCTTCACGGTCTTCATGAAAACATCTAGATAATCGTCGTGTTCTGGTAGAAATACTTTAACCTTTGCATGCCCACCAATCATGTAGGTTGAGAGGCAATCTTGAGTAAACTACTTTGGCAACCACTGTAAAGGAAAATGATTTAGACATTGTCATCTAACACAACTTATTATGGGCAGTAAAAAGAAGGCTGCAGAGTT